GTGCTGGTTACTTCTGGCGTAATCAGTCATTTATTTCAGCGATGTGCTGGTTGCTTCTGGCGTAATCAGTAATTTATTTCTGCTGAGCCTCAGGAGGTTACATTGAAAACAGGTGAATTTTTTTTTTTGTTTGGTTTATTGTCCACTGAAGGGGTAAGTTGTGTAAAAGTCTTGGGCTATATTCAAGCAGTCTCCAGTCTTTTGTGATTTTTCTGGAAATTAACATCTCTGATAAAAAGCGGAGTTCTTCTGTACTGTATTGGCAGTGCTATACTGATAGTGCAGCAATGGAACATCTCTGTCACTCCAGAGTTCTTTCTCTCAGCTGAGCTTGTGCGGGTTGGCATCCTGAGGAGGTGTAAGAGCCACTTTGCCACCACTGAGCTTGCAATGTGACTTACAGGAGGAGGCCATCTCCTTGTTTCTCTTGTGCATTGTGTGGAACCTTGTATTTGCATAGAGAGGAGAGCTTTTGAGGTATTTCCAGCACCTGGTGATGTGTGTGGCCGGGCCATTCCTCCAGCTCAGTCAAGATTTGATGTCTTGTGTGAAAGTCACCCTAGTACGGGGCCCTTCTTCATGCCCTGTTGTGCGTGGACCTGGATGGGGGAAGGTGAAGATGTGTCCTTCTGAGGTTCATGTAACTGTTGGCAGTGTCAGTGAGTGTCCATCTTCCTGAATCTTCAATTCATGCAGTTGGTCTCCACCCATAAACCCATCAAACCCCACCAGGGAGTCATAAAACATTTGCCAGACATCTGGACTCACTTGGTATGAGTGGGGTGAGAGGTGGCCCGGCGCACAGCCAGGGTCAAGCCACCAGCGAGGGGTGGTGCAGAGTGGCTGTCCTCTGGTGTGGGGCTGGGACTTCTGGTGTGCAGGCCGCTTGTGTCCATTTCATAGTGGCAGCAAGCCAGCTGGTCCTGCACTATGTTGTCTCCCCCTCTGGGGAAGGCTGGCTCTCCCTGTCGACATCCCTGGAGAGTTCTCACAGCCCTCGGGCTTTCTTAGAAAGGGTCTCGGTGGAAGGAAGGGTGCTGCCAGCGTGGCCTGGGTCTAGTAATCCCTGTGCTGTGCTCTGCCTTTTTGTGATACCACAATGGTTTATTCACCTGCGTGGATGCATGTACGTAATTTATTCACAATGGTCTATTCAACTGTGTGGACACACGTAATTTATTCACAATGGTTTATTCAACTGCGTGGACACACGTAATTTATTCACTATTATTTATTCAACTGCGTGGACACACGTAATTTATTCACTATTATTCAACTGCGTGGACACACTCACATAATTTATTCACAATGCTTTATTCAACTGTGTGGACACAATTTATTCACAATTGTTGATTCAACTGCGTAGACACACTCACGTAATTTATTCACGATGCTTTATTCAACTGTGTGGACACAAGTAATTCACAATTATTCAACTGCATGGACACACATAATTCACTATTCAACTGTGTGTACACACACATAATTTATTCACAATGGTTTATTCAACTGTGGACATGTAATTTATTCACAATTATTTATTCAACTGCGTGTACACACATAATTTATTCGCAATTATTTATTCAACTGTGTACACACACATAATTTATTCACAATGGTTTATTCAACTGCATGGACACACTCACGTAATTTATTCATGATGGTTTATTCAACTGTGTGGACACGCATAATTTATTCACAATTATTTAACTGTGGACACATGTAATACACTATTATTTATTCAACTGCGTGTACACACACATAATTTATTCGCAATGGTTTATTCAACTGTATGGACACGTAACTTATAATGGTTTATTCAACTGTGTGGACACACTCATAATTTATTCACAATGGTTTACTCAACTGCATGGACACACGTAATTTATTCACGATGGTTTATTCAACTGTGTGGACACACTGTGTAATTTATTCACAATTGTTTATTCAGCTGCGTGGACACACACACAATTTATTCACAATGGCTTATTCAGCTGCGTGGACACGCTCGTGTAATTACCCCTCTCCAGTGTCTTCAGGCTGAGCTGTCATCTCTATGTCCTTGTTGGTGGAACTCTCACAGAAAAGTTGTGGGTCCTGCTTATTATCTCCCTGAGTCTCTCAGTGCACTGTGGGAGGGGACAGGAGCTGGCCACAGGTGGGGTGGGAGGCGCTGGCCGCCGTGGCTGTGCTTTCGAGTCAGCGGCCTGGCATTCTGGGACCGTGTCCAGCGTGCCCAAGGGAGGCTGTCCTCCCTGCTGGCCGCGGCTCACCGAGGGGTGATCACTCAGAACTCCACTTCAGCTGAGGGCCGGAGGCCCTGGTGGAGCAGGCCAGATGGAATGTGTTGTGACTGCCCCAAACAAAACCTGACTACGCAGTGACTCCCACTCATAGTTGCCTTGGACCTGCTCCAGGCTGGTTTCCTGGGTCCCAGCTTGCCCTGCCCTTCCGTCTTGCTGCCACCGCCGCCACCGCCTGGCTTCTCCTCATCATGTATACATACCCATGTGCGTATGCACATGTACGTGTGTGTGTGTATGTATATATATATATATATATATACACACACACATACCTATGTACATATAGGTGTGCGTATATCTATTGATCCTGGGGCTTGAACTTGAGGCCTGAGCACTGCCCTTGAGCTGTTTTGCTTAAGACTAGTGTTCTGCCACCTGAACCACAATTCCACTTCTGGATTTGGGGTGGTTAATGGGAGGTAAGAGTTTCACAGACTTTTTTTTTGGGGGGGCCTGGGCTGGCTCCACACCATGAACCTCAAATCTTAGCCTCCTGAGTAGCTAAGGTTACAGGGATGAGCCACCAGTGCCCAGCTTACTTTTCTTTTTTTTTTTTTTTTT